CCACACAAGGTGAGAGGGGCTGGCCCTGTGCTGGCTCACCCTTCAGCCCCTCCTCTCTCAGCTCCGCCCCTCCCCTTGACCACGTGGCCAGAGAACGTGCGGGTGGCAGTGGCTGGTCTGACCTCTGCCCTTCAGAAATTGCTTTTGTTGATTTCGGACCAGCTGTGGAACCTAACATCTCTCTGGCCTGGAGATGAGCCACGTCTGGGTGGCTGTGAGCTGTGGCTGCCCACCCCGGGACAAGAGAACATGCAATATGGTGTCCCTGGGCCACTAAGCAGATAGCAGGTCGGGGCGGTGCTAAGTAGCCTGTGCCCTGGGCCACATCCCACCCTCAAGCTGCCCTCTGGGGCCGAGGCTCCCGTGGCCCGTTTCTACAGCTGGGGAAGCCAAGGCTCAGAGAAGCAGAGTGGCTGGCTGCCCAAAGTGCCGGAGCCAGGATCCCCATGTGGGCCCTCCAGCTCCAAGCCCAATCTCTACTCTCCACAGGCCCAAGAAGGCTGATTCTTTCCGGGTTTTCTGTGGCAGACTGGAAACAAGGAGCCCAGGGAGCCATGGAGCCCGAGCAGGGCCTCACATGCCACCCCCCCTCCCCCACCCCCATGCTCCCAGCAAGACCTGGGCTGAGCTGGGCTCCTAGCAGCACTGGCCAGAGTCCCTCACCAACCCTGCCCTTGGGAAGTTCCCAAGAGCCACCGCTACAGCCTAAGGGCTCAGTGTAGACACGTTCTCCAAATCCAGGGTCTTCAGAGGCCACCTGACCCAGTGGGGATGAGCAAGGGTTTGAAGGCAAAGCTGGGCCGACAGCGGCTCACCTGAAAGACACCGGCTCAATTCTGAGGTCCCAAAAAGCAAGCCACAAGAAAGGCCCAGGTGACAGTAGGGCATGCTGACCACTAATGCAATCCAGATTTGCCTCAGCAACTGAGCTTGCAAATGAGCTTCCCTAGGCCCTACAGGCGACTCCAGGATCTTGGGCCATAGTGAGTGTCTTCACCTGCCTCCCTCCTATGTCCTCCTCTGCCCCGCCCAGGACTTGGCCCTCAGAAGGCTGCTCTGTGTGGGCAGACACGGGCTTGTCACACACTTGAACGTGCGGGACTCCAAGGCATCTTCATTAAAGTCCAATAGACAGGGGCACCTGGGTGGCTCAGTCGGTTAAGTGTCTGAATCTTGATTTTGGCTCAGGTCATGATCTCATGGTTTGGTGAGTTCGAGCCCCACGTTGGGCTCTGTGCTGACTGTACAGAAACTGCTTGGGATTTTTTTTTTTTTTCTCTATCTGTCCCTCCCCTGATCATGCTCTCTTGGTCTTTCTCAAAATAAATAAATAAAACTTAAAAAATATTTAAAAAATTTTAATGTTTATTCATTTGTGAGAGACAGAGTGAGCAGGGGAGGGGCAGAGAGAGAGGGAGACACAGAATCCGAAGCAGGCTCCAGGCTCTGAGCTGTCGGCACAGAGCCTGACATGGGGCTCGAACACATGAATTGTGAGATCACGACCTAAGCCGAAGTTGGCTGCTTAACCAACTGAGCCACCCAGGTGCCCCAAAACTTTAAAAAATGTTAAAAAAAAAAAAAAACCCAAACCTAGCCTTTTTTCCTCTTTAATTTTCAAAAGTATATAATTCTCCCAACCCCCACTCCAAGTCAATTTTCTGCTTAAGTAATAATCTGGTAAGGGAAGGAAGCGATTTCATGCTTCAGTGAAATCGTAAATTAGTGTCCAAGTACAGTGCTGTCTCTCTGCCTCACTCCTCCCCTGGCAAAGAACCAAGGAAACCACAAACTGACGTGATCCGAGCTGCCTGGGCAAGGCCCCTGCTCCCTGGGCCCGGGCTGGGTCTGGCTCTGCTGCTCTGGCCCCCAAGCTCCAGGCAGACCTCGAGTTGATGATGCACCAGAGACACCGCTGTGCACACCAGCCACTGGGCTCTGGGGTCATGAGGTGAGCCCACGGGGATGGGGGGTGCAGCCAGCACAAGAGTAAGAGAGGTGGGCCAAGGCTGGACACGATACTTCCTGTTCGATCGTCATCCTGGGGCACCCCTTCCCTGCAGCTCGGTGTTCTCTTCTGTAAAACGAAGTCCCTGTCCTGCTCAGGCCTCAGGGGCACTCAGCTGTTGGCAAGTATTTACGGAGCGTGACCTCTCAGCCTGGCCCTGGGGCTGGGTGGCACGGGGATCGGGAGGCCTCGGTGGCTTAGCCCCCTGAGGCTTTCCTGGCAGCTTGGCACGTACCCCAGATCTGAATTCTGGACCCTGCACCACGTTTCCCCGAATCTTGTTCACAGACATGTTCCCAAACATGGACGTTCATTGAGTTGACTCTATCCATCCCGTCCCCACTGTGTCTGGGCTGAATAGGAGCGATGGCCTTTGACCTGTACGCCACGCTGGGGGTGCGGCCCCAAGGACTCCAACTCAGGGGTCCAGGTGGAGACTCCCTACGGAGGGGGTTAAGGACGGGACAAAGCAGGACTCAAAGAATGAGAAAGCATCAAAAGGCAGGGCAAACCCACACAGAGCAGCCACGTTTGCCCTGGGAATGAGGTCAAGTGGTGACAAGGCCAGTGCTGAGTGGGCAGCCCAGGGCCCCAGAGCTGACTGATGTCTTGCTTAGCACCAAGATGCCTGCCCGCTGACGCAAATTCCCCGCACAGGCAAAGAGCCAGGGATGGGCGTACACACCCAAGCAGGTTCCCACCCCCAGATGGCTGCCTGTCTGGGCACCTCCGTTCCGAGGGCAGAGGCACCTGCTCGGCTGTTTCCTCAGATTGTCCCACCTCCTTGTGAGCAGTGCCTGCATCTGAGCCAACCTCCCAGAGACAGCAGCCATCAGTCACGCATGGACTTGCCCCGGTCCGTGAGGTGATGTCCCAGAAGCATCGTGATTCCAGAAGGTGGAGGGTCTCATCACCCCAGTTTACAGATGAGGATGCTGAGGCCCAGACACAGGAATGGAATCATGTGAGCTGCAAACCTGTACCCAGGTCCCTGAGGATCCCCAGGGCTGTGCCTCTGCTCTGGGCTGGCCGGAGTGGGAGGACCGGCCTAAGAGCCAGAGGCCCTGGGTGCTACTCGCCCTGTGTCGGGCCCCTCACCTCAACCACAGGACATCTGGAAGCGGCTCGCCTTGACCGTCACGCGTCCAGGAGAGCCCTCAGCATTTCCTCCAGACCCGCTTCTCCCCAGGCCAGGCAAACGGGAAATGGCACCAGCATGCTCCTTCTTATTCAGGCCAAATGCCCAGGCTCCCTTCGTCCCTCCCCGGCACCAGCACCCGGCCCCCACCAAGTCCTGTGGCTCCTAAGTGAGCCCCGACTCTGATCCTTATCCCCACCTCTGTCCCTCCCTTGACCTCTGGAAACCCCTGACTGGCTTCTGCTTCTTTCTCCACGATCTGTGCTCCATCCAGAGACCAGAGTGATGATCCCATCACGCCCAGCTCGAAACCCTCCAGGGGTGTCCCAGCGCCCTCAGTGAAATCCTAAGTTCTCATCGTGGCAGCCAGGTCCCACATGAGTTGACCCCTCCTCACTGGCTACCCCTCCGTCATCACATCCTGCCACTTTCCAACTCGCTCGCCCCCTCAGGCCACACCGGACTTCTTACTGGGCCTCAGGACCTTTTCACAGGTTCCTCCTAGGACTGGAATGCTCCCCTGCCTGTCTACATGGCCCACTCCGTCACCTCCTCAGAGAGTGACCTGACCACCTTTTGGGGTCACCTCCTCTCCACACCTCACCCAATTCTGCCTTCCTCACAGCACCCACTGCTATGTAACACGCGTTCGTCCCCAGTCTCACCAACCTGCTGAAGGTGGACACCACGGGTAGGGCTAACTGATGCGACCCCAACACCCAGTGGGACCTGGTACAGAGCGGCCACTCACCTCGACTGAATGAACCCCGCCTTTGCTCATGACGAAGCCTGGAGACACATACAGTGCATGGAATCCCCTTCACCTTGAGCACTCGTCCAGCCGCCCCAGAGAAGACGAAGGCTGGGCTGAAGAAGGCACTCGAGGGGGCCGCCACGATGGACGCGTGCGGTGGACACTCACAGCCTCGCTCGGGTCAGCGCTCGCAGAACCCGAGGCTGGGCATTTGGGCCCGGCTGGCCAAAGCGGCAGATCACCGGGCCCTGGCCCTGAGCGTGGAGCCCGATCCGTGTGCAATCCTACCAGCCACTGCGATGGGCCAAGCAGACTCTTGTCTGCGACGTTTCCTGAACTGCAGGGGAAGGTAGAGGTGCCAAGAGCACTGGGGCAAGGCAGGGGCGGGAGTGGTCGGTGGCCGTGCCACCCAGGACGGGAGCTGCACGGAGGAGGCAGAGCCCACGGCCAGGCTGCCCTTCTGCTCCGAGAGGGCTTTCCGTCCCTTGTCACCTAGAGCCGCAAGCAGTACGAGCACTCACTGCACATCAGTTCCTGGGGGTCAGTGACCAGGGGCTGCTCTCCTTGCTAAGGGGTCTTCTACCTTCTCCACCTGCAGGGAGGGCACCCCCCTGCACACCGAAAACGGGTTGTATGAGATGGTTTTCCGTGTTCACTACCAGTCACACAGGCAGCCCCACGCAGGGCGGAGGATACGCAGGGTGCAGGACACAGGCTCCCGGCCAGTGGCGGGAAGGGTGAACGTGCCAGAGTGTGTGTGCCCAAAAGCGTGTCTGCCCAGAGCCTCCTTGGCTCCCTGCCTCGGGGGCCATGATAAATCAGACGCTCTCATGCTGTATCACAGAACTACTCTGACTACCTAAGCGTTGTCCTGGGCTTTGATGGATTTAAGGCACGTGAAGTAATAGCCATGCTCCAAACGAGCAATTTCTCATCCTGCTAAGAGGTACTGACCCGCCTCAGACCACACTTCTGCTCACACTGCGATCCTCACCTGCACAGAAGCAGTTAAAGTGCACCCAACAACAATGTGCCCGGCTCATTTCTCCCATCACCCTTGGAAAGTTGAAGAAACACACAAGGAAACAAAGTAGCCAGTGGTGAGACCTGCAGAAGAAACTTGCCTGTTCTCCAGCCACGGGAAGCTGAAGGCCCCCACTCCCAGGGAGAAATACGCCACGGGATCAAACTGCTGCCACTGTCCAGAAAGCCCGACTCCATCTGGCCGCAGCACCGACCCCCTCCCTGCCTCCCTCCACCTGCCAGGGGCCCGAGTTCCTCAAAATCAGGATGTCAACGCTACTGCTCCTTGCGGGGGGCGAGAGGGAGCGGGAAAGCCCAGGGCCCCGCCGGGGGGTTGCAGGTAATGTGGTTCTGACTCACTCAACAACCATAAGCTTCCCGAACAATCCCCACGTGCTATGTACCAGGCGTGGGAGATGGGGACGGACAGAGACAGGTTCCTGTCCCCGTGGGCCTGCGGTGTGGGAGGCGGACACAGACCAGCAGTGAGGAAACAAAACAGCAGTAGGTCACGGTGACAAGAAGATGGTGGGGTCACTTAGGCTTCTGTGAAGAGGGGACACGTGAGCTGAAGCTTAACCAATGAGCCAGGCTATGACGACAGGGGAAAGGACGCTTCCAGGTGGCAGGGCTGCGGACACAAAGGCAGGGCAGAAACAAAGTTGGCCCGTTGAGGGAAGAGAAAGGCCAGGCCGACAGGTAGGGGCACAGTCACATGGGGCTGGGGGACGACTAAAGACGCCCACAAACTGTGACACGGCTTCCACTGACAGGCGGGGTCTATGTCCCCTCCCTTTGAGCAGGTTCTGTGACCGACCAAAGGGAGCCAGAGAGACGCTGTGCCCATTTCCGGGCCCAGACCTTCAGACACTGGCAGCTTCCACTCTTGCAGTGCCCCCTCTCCAGGGGAAGCCAGACAACGGGAGGCCTGACCACACCTCGAGGAGACGGCAGCCTGCCACGTGGAGGAGGGCAGCCTGGCCGTTCCCCCTGCCCTTCTGGGCACGGGAGCCCAGGCACCACACACGCAAGTGAGGAAGTCGCCTTGGACAGCCCAGCTGCAGCAGGTGGGCCCCCGCCAGCAAGTCGGAACCGGGGCCCCAGGGACCGCAAAGTTCACGCATCACCCGACCTCAAACCCTGAGACAGATCCTGACTGAGCAACTGCTGGAGGCCAGGCTACGTTGAAGGCCCACACCAAATCAAGATGGCGGCTCTCACTCTTGATCTCGGGGTCGAGATCAAGACACACGTTAACAGAAAGGCCAAGGTGCGAGCGAGGTGGGAGGGGGCCTGGGGGTGGGGAGAGAAGGCAAGTATTCTGCAGATGCCTCTCTGGTGGCGGCATTCTGACGGCTGTGACAAAGTGGCCTGGAGGGAAGATCAGGGTTCCTCAGGGACGGCAGACAGAACGGGGTCCCTGAAGGCCACAGCCATGACCGTGTGGCGCTGGGAAAGTTCACTTGTCTCCCTGGGTCTGTTTCAACCACAGAGTGACGCTAAAAGCAAGTGACAAACCAGACAGTACACGACACGCGCTTCCAGTGGCCTGGGCCTCTAGCATATGCTCATACGGCCAGCTGTTCCAGTATTGTTGCTGTTACTACCACGTCCTCTGAACAAAGAACGGAGCAGACACTCCGGATCCTGACTCCATCCCTCCCCTCCGCTTTCTGGTTTCGTTTTGTTCTGTAAGCTCGCTCTACGCCCAACGTGGAGTTTGAATTGACGACCCCGGATCTAGAGGCACCCGCTCCACTGACAGCCAGCCGGGCGTCCCTCTGCTTTGCTCTGAATACGGCAGTGCTCACGGTCTATTCGTGTTTAGGTTGTTCGGATTTTTTAAATGATTATATGATATTGTTGCGATCAGGAAAAAAAAAAAAACGCTAAAGGTTTCTGTCAAGCCTGTGAGGTCTGTGAAAAAGGAAGGAGTCAAATGCTATGAAACACCACATAAGTGCAGGGCTGTGCGATTCAACACCCGTTCCCAGGCAGGGATCTCGGGACTGACGTGTGACGCTGCGGCCCAGATGCCTGCCCCACCCCACCCCCGCGTCTGGGGATCCAAGCACCTCAGGGAGCCTGCAGGGTGCAGGGGTATCCTTCTTCCCCTTGCCAAGTGGAAAGCAGACTAAGCACCCTTGTAGAGCACACAAATCTAATTGTTAATTGAAAGCAAATCAGTATGACCAGGGTAACCGAATCAGAGGCGCAGATCATTCCAGATACGAGTGCACTATCACACAAAGGGCCCTTTCCCTAAAAGCCTCTGCCTTTCAATGGTCCTTTCTTTAAAAAAGTAATAAAACTTTATGTACATTCAAAAAATTGTAGGTACCTTTTTATTATTTTTATTTAAAAATTTTTTATTTTTTTGACAGAGCGAACATGCACTCAAACAGGGGAGGGGCAGAGAGAAGGGGAGAGAAATCCCAAGCAGGCTCCGTGCTGTCAGCACAGAGCCCGATGCGGGGCTTGTACCCACGAACTGTGAGATCATGACCTGAGCCGAAATCAAGAGTCAGACACTTAATTGACTGAGCCACCCAGGCGCCCTGTAGGTACCCTGTTTTTAATTTAAAATGCAAAGGAATAGAATTATTTGTATTTTTGTGTGTGTATGTATTTTGATTTTGTTTTCCATCTCTTTATTGTGCAAGATTCCAATCCTGCAGTAAAGTCATGATAATTATGTAACACACGCCTTGTGTCGGCTGGATGCAACTTTGCCCCACGCCAGCCCACAGCCTCACCCCATCCCTCTGCAGGGGAATGGGCTGGCTGTAAGGGCGGTTCGAGAACGGAGCCTGGCTCAGGGAAGGGGTGAGGGTGTTGCTTCACCCAGCACTTAGTAACAAATGAGGTTCCTCTTTTGGTGGTACCCAAATGACTCTGCATCGGATGGCTCCCCATGAAACGCAGAGAGCAGGTCGGTTCGCCCCTGAGCTCATCTCACGGGGCAGATTTCCAACTGCCTTCCACAACTCTGACAGACCACACTGCAGGACAACCCGCTTCTCGCCTGCTATCTGAGATCTCGATCACCAGTGCCACAGCGCCTCCCCTACAGTGCCCCGTGGTGGGCGGTTAGTCCTAAGGTCCACCCGTCCACCTGCAACCAAAGCCTGGAAGGGGATGGGGATCCCAGGAGACCCGGAGGGTGGGCAATGGCTTCAGCACCTTCTCCACGTGCTCTTGCCTTTTCCCTCGGTGCTCCCGCAGGTTAAGCACAGTTGAGGAAGGACAGCTTCTTTGGCTTCCAAGATTGAGCCGGGATCCAGGCTGCTTCAGCCTCTGCTAGCCAGGAGGCTGTGCTCTTATTACAAGCTGATAGACCTACCGAAGTGGAAGCCAACTCTGCTAGTGTGCAAACGCTGCTCTGGGGAAGGGCTCGGGGGGTTGCTCTGTGCTCGTTTACCCAGGGGAATAGGCCCCTCCCAGAGGAGGCACAGGACAGGAGGTGAGGGGTCAAGGCTGTGCAACCCTCCTGGACGATGAAGCAACACTTGTTGCAAACGGTAGAGAGTTCTGGTCAGGAAGGGAGCCAGATGAAACACATGACCACCAGGAGCCTCTGCCGTGCTGGGTGTCGCACGCAGAAGCGGTGGTCCCCCAACCACACCCGGCCGGCTCAGGCCTGTCCGCTTTAATCAGGATGGGCCAGGTTCTGCAGCATCAACAAACACCCCTGTAGCTCAGAGGCTTCGGAGGACTGCGATTTCTCTCTGGCTCATACCACTTGCATCATGGTTCGGGGTAGTGGGGGGGTGAGTGTGAGAAGTGTCCTTGTCATCACTATCGGCCCCAGGGACCCAGATGACAGAGCAGCACCCCGTCACCAGTCAGTAAGCCACAGGGAAGAGAGAGGGCGCTTGGGAACCCCGCACCCTGGAAGACACACACCTCTTTCGCTCCCATCTCCTTGGCCCAAACCAAGCACATGGCTTCACTCACCCACGAGGGCCAGAGGCGCAATCCTGCCACCTGCCCCACTGTTTCGGTAACCTGCACGTGGGAACGGGAGCTCCGAGATTAACGGCAGTGACAGTTCCACCAGCACTAAGTTATAGTTACCAAGGACTTGCTCCATTGCGGGCGCTGCTCCAAGTGCTTTCTGTGTGAACGCGTGCAACCCTCACCACGGCCTTATGTCCAACCCTCCCCTGCACCTCACGGGAGGGACGCTGGGCAAAGAGCTCCCACCTCTGCGCTTTGTGAGCCCAGATCTGTATCGTTCTTTCCACACACCAAAGGGACAGAAGAGAGGCTCTGGGGGCCACAGCCCGGGGCTCCAGCCACTGGACACCCTTCTCCGTATCCCCCTTGGAGTAACCCTTGTCAACCCTTCTGCGCACCTGGAACAGCGCCATCTCGAGGAGAATGAAGCCTCCGTGCTCCGAGACACCCAACGCGGGTAATGAATCAACTTTTCTCCTGTGCGTGGCAAAGGGTCCTAGTGCGAAAGCGGCCTCTAGGGTCATTTTCTGGCTCCTGTTCAGATGAGGACACCAGGCTAAGCAAGGCCACTTCAGGGAAAGGATCTAATGGTCCCCCACGCTGGGTCTAGCTGCTCAAAGACAAGGTCAGGGTTCTGTCAGCTCCGCACCGGCCAGGTTTTGTTCTTTCAGAGAAGCCATCTTGCTAAGGAGAGAAGCGAACCCTCAGGAGGGGCTGTGTGGGCCACGTACCCAGCCCACAGCAGCCACGGCCACGGTGCTCAGCACCCTGTTCTCTGCTCAGAGCCCTGCCTTCTCAGTGTGAGCTCCATGGACCAAGTTAGACAGGCCAAGGGGCACACCCAGGAGCTCAATCATTTTTACTGACAAGACAATGTAGGATTGAAAAGCACAAGATACAAAAGACGCAAATCCCCTGGAATGTCAACCCAGAACACAGGCATTTTCATGAGGGTGAGGGGGGGAGGGAGATGATGGCTGGGGACACTGCCCTGCGGGGGCAAAACCTCATTCTTGGGGGGGGGAGGTGGAAAAGATCTTGTTGTTTTTATATACAAAGCATATGTACACAGCACACAGACTTATATCTGGTATTAATATTTATGGGAGGGTAAGGAGAATCGGGGGGGGGGAAGTTCTAAGAAAGTTTTGGGGGAAGGTGACAAGGTTAAGCCAGTCTCCGAACAGAGTAACTATTTTTGTGTTGGCTCATTTTTGCCTTTTATCCCCAAACGTTTTACATTGTTGCAGTTACAGAATGTTATTTTACATTGTTTTTACCTATTTACACAGTTTCCATATTCCTATCCTTCACTCACTACTGAACAAAGGTGGATTGAGCGCCCGTGGAGTGCAGGCCCTGGCATCCAGTCTTCCGGGCTCCCTCATGAAACAGCCCAGCGTCTGTGTGGTTGTCACATGTAACTTTTGGCGTCTGTGAAATGCAGAACAACTATGACTTAGGAAGTCATTCATCCACAGTTCTAAAAGTTTCTATCAAACAAATCACATCTCTGCTTATGTTGAATTGCTGGTATTCTCTTGAGATACAATCTTGGGAGAAGAATTCTAGGTGTTTGATGTCACAACATCCTAAAAGTTCTGTTTGCCATGCTTAAAACACCCCTGCAACAAGCCGACTTCTTTCAGCTAAGTGGGGGGGTGGGGGTGGGTGGGTGGTGTAGACACCTCCAAATTCATCAGGGCAGGGCAGACAGAAGCTACCACTCAGCTTCTTCTGCCATATCCTGTCCCCCCTCAGCTCGGTGGGGCCGCCTGGACCATCTCTGGCCCCCGAAGCCGGGAGTCTGCAGGTCTGGCTGTTGGCTCCAGCTGGGATCAGGGCCAATGTAATGGATACCACTGCTCTAATCAGAGAGGGGACAGAGAACTCGGCACTCAGGCTCACCCATCTGTTGAAATAACTGGTTTCCTTTCACTTATCCAGAGTGACACAGGGAGAAACAAAGGGGGCAGAGAGAACAGTCCCCTCCAAAGCAAACATTGCATCATGACCCCGGGCTCCTCCCTCTTCAGAAGGATTAGCCTGGCCCTCAGCAAACAGAGCGGGGGCTGGGGACCCAGAGGGAGGCAGTCTCTTTTCCTGTCTGGTCCCTTGAAAGGTTCAGAGTCCCACAGATGGAGCCGCTCAAAGCACTCTGGCCTAGATATCACTTTCAACGAGCCACCTGGAGTCTTGGCGGCAAATGGAGAAGAATACAACAGGAAAATAAAAAAACACCAAGAGTAAAGCGCTAGCCATTTCCTGGTGTGGGTCCTTCTCCCTGTTCATTCTTCTCCAGGCTGTCAGTGCTGCTGTGCAACTGCAATCTGAGTGCTGTTCAATTCCCAAGGCCCAGGATGCAGCTCTGTCTTCTCCGCGGAGCCGGAGAGCGATTCGGAGTATCTTTCAAACTGACAGCTGCAGGTGCCCTCGGCCCGGCATTTCCACTCCAAGGAACCTCACCTTCAGTCCTACTTGCACATGGGCCTTTGGCTGCAAGCAAAAGGCTGGAAACAACTCAATATTCATAAATAAGAGCCCTAGTCAAATACACCTTGGTTCATTCATCGAGTGGAACACTGTGCAACCCAATATATACACATATATATTTTTTTAGAAAAATTTTTTATTATTTTTTCAATGTTTATTTTAGAGAGAGAGAGAAAAAGAGAGAGAGAGAGAGAGAGAGAAAGAGAGACAGAGCATGAGCGGGGGAGGAGCAGAGAAAGAGGGAGACACAGAATCTGAAGCAGGCTCCAGGCTCCGGGCTGTCAGCACAGAGCCCGATGCAGGGCTCAAACTCACAAACTGTGAGACCATGACCTGAGCCAAAGTCAGACACTCAACTGACTGAGCCACCCAGGCGCCCCCAAATACACATATATATGTGTGTATATATATATATTTACATAAGAAACCAGATTGCCTATGCTCACACACACAGAGACATGCTATACACACACCCGTGTATACGTACAAGGAGTATCTCCGGCAGGCTGTGCAAGAAACATTAGTGCACTGGGGAGAACAGTGGAAACCCCGTACCCCTCTGAACCTGCTGAATTCCATGCCAGATACAGTATCACTTTTTCAAAACCCTGTCATGTGTGAGCCTTCGTGCTGGGTGCTTTAAATGCATCCTTTTACTTAATCCTTAAGACACATCTTCAAGGTCCCAATTGTAAAGATGGGCAAACTGAGGCTCACAGAAGATAAAAACAAAAAATGCACACACATCTTCAATATTCAAACCTGTTTTGCTCCCAAGTCCCTGCTCAAATGGCACAATGGGGGCTATTTACGAAGACAAAGAACCTTCCTGGCTACAAATACTGGGTACATACAGCAGAATGGAAGAGCATATTTTATTTTTTATTTATTTTTTTGGGACAGGAGAGAGACAGAGCATGAACAGGGGAG